AGAGAGAGAGAGAGAGAGAGAGAGAGAGAGAGAGACAGAGAGGGGATGACAGCGTATTCCACCAGCGTGACCTACTTTGACGGGAATGATAGGAACAAACTCTGTGTTGACGTGCAGGTGGTGGTCAAAACAGAACTGGTCGATGGTCATCTGGGAGTCGGTCAGCATGAGGTAGCGGTCCACTTCCTCGATACATCGCAGACGCCGCCCACACGGCCCCCGATACAGCACAAACCTTTTGGTCGACGGACGCGCCTTGCAGATTTGTCTGTGGGCAAAACAGAATCCAAGAAAAAAATGTTGTCTGTTTTCTTTTCTGTCTTGTGTGCTGAGAATTAGAGAACCATTAGAACAACACAGAAATCCCAAAACTAAAAGGAACAGAACCATTAGAACAACACAGAAATGCCAAAACTAAAAGGAACAGAACCATTAGAAAACACAGAAATCCCAAAACTAAAAGGAACAGAACCATTACAAAACACAGAAATCCCAAAACTAAAAGGAACAGAACCATTACAAAACACAGAAATCCCAAAACTAAAAGGAACAGAATCATTAGAAAAACACATTAATGACACAACTGTAAGGAAAAACCACAGACACATGACACACCATTGACACAGCAATGACACAGCAATGACACAGCAATGATACAAGCACAGGACAAAGAACAGCACAAGGCAGAGAACAAAGGTCACCTCTCCCATCCACAGAGCAGAGGGACTAGCATGGCACTACGACCTCTGTGCGTCTCTCGTCGCTGGTCGCTGACCTTGACACACTCCGGGACACAGGCGTGGGGCTCTGTGCACACAACAACCACAGGTTAGTGACAGGAACAGTTTTACAGCATTTGCAAACACATATAGGTCATATAAGTGACAAAGATTAGTTGTAGTTTTAGTAGAGGTCTTACAGCCCTCGCAACTTCATAAGGTCAAATGAGCGCCAGAAGATTAGAGGTTTTACAAGAGAGTAACAAACATAAAAAAGAAAGGGAAATATTTATTTTTTATAGTAGAAGGTTTTACGGCACTCGTAACTGCATAAGGTCATATGAGCGCCAAGGGGTGGGTGTCAACAGAGAAGTCCTTACAGGGAATCAGACTTACTCTGCTCACCTCTCTAGCCTCAACAGCACAATGTCTGCTTCGACTATCAAGGCAACCCGGAAATAGCAGGTCACAAGAGAGTGACAAACATACAAAAGAAGTAGAGGAAAATGACAATAGTAAGGATCAAGAAAGAAAAAGCAGCAGGTCCTTGTAGATCAGGCACAGTTATGAGCGTGACATAAGTCAGCCCATTTATAATTCTACTATGCTTGAACGAGAAATGTCCCCCCTTTGGGAATGGCCTAAAGACACTACAGTCAGTGGCACTGCCCCGGGGAGTGAAGGGGAGATAGGGACGATAGATGTTTGATAGGAAAGAAGAAGCAAACCATACCAGAGCACCCACCAACCACCCACAGAAACAAATGTACACACACACAGACAGGTTCACACACACATATACACACACACAGGACAGGTACACACACATATATACACACACAGACAGGTACACACACACACAGACAGGTACACACACAGACAGGTACACACACACATACACAGACACACATACAGGTACAGAAACAAATGTACACACACACACACACACCATATGTACACTTACATTCACACACACACAGACAGGTACACACACACATACACACACACAGACAGGTACACACACACATACACAAACACACAGACTGGTACACACACACACACCGTATGTACACTTACATTCACACACACACACAGACAGGTACACACACACAGACAGGTACACACACACAGACAGGCACACACACACACCGTATGTACACTTACATTCACACACACACACAGACAGGTACACACACACAGACAGGTACACACACACAGACAGGCACACACACACACCGTATGTACACTTACATTCACACACACACACAGACAGGTACACACACACACATACACACACACAGACAGGTACACACACACACAGACAGGTACACACACACACAGACAGGTACACACACACATACACACACACACAGACAGGTACACATACACACACACACACAGACAGGTACACACACACATACACACAGGACACACAGACAGGTTCACATCACAGTCCATACACACACGACACAGACACAGACAGGTACACACACACATTCACACACACACAGACAGGTATACACACACACTGTATGTACACTTACATTCACACACACACAGACAGGTACACACACACACTGTATGTACACTTACATTCACACACTGAGACGCACACACATAAGCAGGGCTGCCCACCCACAAGTATATGTTTTAGTAATCAACAAATCAAAAATTCGTAATCTTGCATACATAATTTTCTGCTTATCCATATATACCCCAAGGCCATGCTTTCTCCCTTGTACCGGTACTGTACATTTACACCAGTGGTATAACAGCTAGATCTATCAAACTTGACAGTTGATGTTCCACTTTGTTCTGCTTGTGTTGGTGAGCACCATAGCGACTGGCATCTATATATACCCCAAGGCCAGGCTCTTCTCCCTTGTGCTGTACACCCAGATAGAAATCGTAAAACAGCTAGATCGAAATCACTTGACAGCTTATGTTCCACTAAAATCCACAACAATATTTACAAACTAGCTGGGCCTCCTTTCGAAGAAAGGAATGATCGGTGCATTAACATCAACTGAAAGTCATTGGCCTACTATATTTACTGGAAAGGAGCAATAAATCCAGAGAGATGCATTAAATTAGAAGGTTTCGATCTAGTGATGTATAGACTGATTCTCTATTCTGCTTTCGTGGTTGTACACTCCAGAATGACAAAGGTGTGAAATCAGTGCGCACGGTCAGGGAACGGAAAGCTCACTTGTTTACAATGGCGTCTTAGAAGACGAACGTACTTTCCCAAGATTAGATCTAAACGAAACTAATGAAAAACTGAAAATTCAACTATAGTGACTTCAGACTCCTAAACAGAACTGTGCACCCTTTAAATGATTCTGAACCACCGTTAATTTTGTCAAATTCGAAAGTTAGGCGGTTCCGAAGTTTTAGGCGGCCAAAGTGATGACTTTCACAAATATAATACGTATAGATAAACAAGTGCGATAAAAAATCAAGCTCTCTTTAGAGTTTTCTTTTCTTGGCAGGCCCAAGATCTATTGAACCACATTTCTTCCTCTTGTTCACAACGCTGGTGCTCTGATTGTGCTCTAGAAAGTGAGGGTAAAAGACACTGTCTACTGTCTACACTATCAGAGAAAAGAGCACGTCCGCTATGGGTGGGTTCTTGTTGCCCATTAGTAAGTACGGAAAACTTTTATTTCGCTGGGCCCCCTTTTGATGAAAGGAATGATCGGTGCATTAACATCACCTGAATATCATTGGTCTACTATATTTACACTCTACAGGAATGGAGCAATAAATCTTGAGAGAAAAGTGACATGTGTTTCCAAGTCGCCAAATATAAAATAGATGTATAGATTGATTCTCTATTCCGCTTTCGTGGTTGAGCAGAACCGTGTTGCTTGTTCCCAGTAGCAAGAAAAAGAATTTGACAAAGGAGTCCAGAAAAAGTGATGATTGGCATCAAACGAAAGGATCACAGTCCAATTTAGCATCAAGTAAAAAAAGGAAACATGAGGCTAGATCTATACAGGTCGCACACTTAAAATGCGCTCATACGACCTTATGCAGTTGCGAGCGCCTTAAAACCCTCTACTAAACACTTAAAATAGTGCTCTGTATTGTACGACAAAGCATGACAGTATAGAACGGAAGTACGACTTGAAATAAACAAACCTGGCGGATGTTCTAAAATTACAGAGACAGAAGCGTCGGCCTACAAAAGCGATCGGCGAAATAAAGAAATTTAGATTTTTGCAGCAAAACTGTCTCAAAACTTTAAAAATTAAGGGCGTCAAAACCTACAGAATATTTGTAAGAATCTTTTGACGAAAACCACATGTCGATCGATGCAGCCATTACAAAGCCTTTCAATAGCAAAATTCGACCACCACAAATAGATAATAGATTTTTTTAAAATTATATTTTTTAGCACTAATTTTCACGAAAATTTTTCCATTTGCGGATATCTGCAAAGTCATGGAAAACTGGAAGCACTGAGTCAGAGCAAAATGGCAACAATATACCACAGCATTTCTCTCCCCCCTTCTCCTTCACACCCCCCCCCA